GGGTGGGTGGTGGGTGAGGGTGGGGGAGGGGAGGGACCGAGTCCCGAGCGGTGCGGGTGAGGGTTCGGGAAGGTTTAGAAACTAAGATTCTATTCCCTGGCTCTGCACCGGCTTCCCCCACCTCCTCTCCGTCGGTTCCCACACCTCGGGGCTTGAGACTGAAAGAGCATCCCGGGAAGGGGCATTCCAGCCCCCAAGCCGCCTATTCAGAGATCCCCCCCGAAATCTGATCTTGAAGTTGGAGGCCCCTGGGAAAGTTCATTTCTAACCTTTCAGAAGAGTGAGAGGGTTTGAGGCTGCCTGACCCCAGGCGAGTGTGGTAGGTGGACCTTGGGCAGTGGAGCATGGGGGCGAAGGCTCCGGGCGATGAGCCTTCATCCCCTTTTCCTCCTTCCAGTGGGGTTCCGAGGCTCAGGCAGCATGACGACGGAGACCTTTGTGAAGGATATCAAGCCCGGGCTCAAGAATCTGAACCTCATCTTCATTGTGCTGGAGACAGGTGGCTATGCTGGGGCCGGGGACCCCCTGTGGGGGTTCTCAGGGTTGGGGGGCAGAAAGGGAAGAACATCACCTCCGTTCTTAATTTGCTCCCGGGGTGGCAGGGTGCACCCCAAAACATGGCTCCCGCCCAGTCGCTCTCCTAGACCCCAGCCCAGGGAGTTGCCCTGAAATGTAGGGTACATGCAACTCTTGCCAGGTCCAAGCCTCCAGTGTCTCAGGGGCCTCTTTCCGCTCAGCACCCTCCCCACCCCCTCCCCAGCCTGCCCCAGAGATTTAGCTTTGCCCTGTTTGTACTTTTCCCTCACCCCCACCAATATGTCAATATATCTAGATCTCATCCTTCTGACCACTCCCCACTCTGTTTATCTGTTCCCTCCAGGCCGAGTGACCAAGACCAAGGACGGTCACGAAGTTCGGACCTGCAAAGTGGCAGACAAAACGGGCAGCATCAATATCTCCGTCTGGGACGACGTGGGCAACCTGATCCAGCCTGGGGACATTATCCGGCTCACCAAAGGGTAAGCCGGCTGGTGACTACTGGCTCTCCCAGGGCAGTAACAGTCAAGCGGGGGAGGGTTTAACCGTCCCTGTAACTCTTCTGAGTACTCTGAATCCTGCATTTTGTGCCCCCACAGGTACGCTTCAGTGTTCAAAGGTTGTCTGACATTGTACACTGGTCGTGGGGGTGATCTCCAGAAGATTGGAGAGTAAGTGCTCTTGGGTTTGGGGATGTAGAAGCAGCAGGCCAAGAGGGGAAATTTAAGGTTTGCAAGAAGGCAGCATGAGGGTGTGCAGTCCATGTCCTATTCTGGAGGCCCCTAGCACTGGCCCAGAGGATGGGTCTGAAGCTCTGGCCACTTTCTCTCCTTGCAGATTCTGTATGGTTTATTCTGAGGTTCCTAACTTCAGTGAGCCAAACCCAGAGTACAGTGCCCAGCAGGCACCCAACAAGACGGTGAGTCCCATGGCCATAATGTGGGGGCGGGCAGGGCAGGCCACGAAGCATGGTAGGAAGAAAGGTCTGAGTTTAATTTGCACCTTCAGGTGCAGAACGACAGCAGCCCTGCAGCTCCCCAGCCTACCACTGGACCCCCTGCTGTTTCTCCAGGTAAACCTGTTTCCTTCCATACACTGGTCCACCTAGTTCCCCTACTCTCCCCAGCCCGGAGAGGTGACCAGCCTTATCCCTTTCCCAAAGCTCTTTTCTCTGTATACCCCCCCTTGCACCCAATTCTTCTCCCAGTTCTTTTGCAAATCCCTGTGGTGGAAAGATCTGGTTGGGGACCTGTTTCTATGACTGGTAGAGCTCTTGGCACCCTGTTGCCACTACCACTCAAAGGCAAACATGAGAACAGTTTGTCCACAAAGACTGGACTCCTTCATTCTGGCTTGTCTTTCTCTGCTGCTTGTCTGGCAGAACCTGCCCTTTTCTCTTGCTCATTTTCATTTGTTACCCAGTTCTGATACACAGCACTTCTTGTATGACTCACCATAGAGCACACTCTGCACAGCTTTGGAAACCAATGGCCCCGCTGCCCTTCGCGGCCTTGGGATGGTGATTCTTCCATCTCATGTACTCCAAGCCCCTGCTTTTTGGTCTCTTGAGGAATTGGGACCTTACTGCTCACCATCAGCGTTTAATTAGAATCATTCCCAAACACACCTCCTTCGTCTGGTGGTGGTTTCTCCTCAGGAACCTGGTTTTTACTGCTCTTTTCTCCTTCTGGGTCATCTCTCAGCTGACCCTCCTGCTCCCTGAGTGTTTGGCTCTGTCTTGCCTCCGATCCATGCCTTAGGTTTCTCCCTGTGACACTAGGCTTCATGCTGCCTCAGCCCTTCCCCAGTCTGTGTCTGCATCCCCAGTTACCATGGTTTTTCAGAATTGTTTGTGTCAGAACCACCAGGGGTCATGTGTTTTTTTAGAAACACTATGAAATAGCAACATTTAATTCCACCACAAAAATGAACATCCGGGGGTGGGGGGGGGATTAACATCCATGTTTTTAACTGAAAATATGACTATTACATATTTTCAGGTCTCCATTTTAATTATGGTACATTTAAGCCCGTTTACCCTGGTATTCTTTGCCAGATGTTTATCCACTTTGTCCTCTGCCAGTAGATACAAAAGGCTTAACAAAAAACACGTCTGGCAATAAAACTTACCTTTGACTTTCTATACACTCTCCAAATTTTTTCTGTGAATCGAGGAAAGGGCATTATTTTTTTAGTTCTGGCTGCAGATATCTTAGTCTGGTAGAGTAGGTTTCAACAGGAACGTGGTCTGAGAAGCACTAGCCTATACCTTCTACCCCACTAGCGTTCATAGTGCCCTGGTACGTGAGAGGCAGACATCTGCCTTCATTTAACAAACTTATAGATGAGGGATGCCAAGGAGTAAATAAAACAGCACCTGCCTTTAGGAGCTTGTAGTCTATGAAGGAGATGGTTGCCTGGCCAGAGTGGCTCAGTGGTTGAGCGTCAACCTATGAACCAGGAGGTCACGGTTCAATTCCCAGTCAGGGTACATGCCTGGGTTGTGAGCTCGATCCCCAGTAGGGGGCATGCAGGAGGCAGCCAATCAATGATTCTCTCTCACCACTGATGTTTCTATCTCTCTCTTCCTCTTGCTTCTTCTCTGAAATCAATAAAAATATATTTTGAAAAAAAAGGAGATAGTCACACAGGTGATGATTATAATACACCATGAGTGCAAGGATAGTGATATGCACAGCTGTGGGAGCACCCGGGAGTCATCTCACACACCTGCTGTAATCACACATTTAAAATGTGCGCGCGCGCTCTCTCTCACACACACACACACACACACACACACACACACACACACACGTTATTTATTAGTGGGGAGGGGTGGGGTGAGAGAATGTGTAATAATTTTTTTCCTTATTCTCATCTGTATTTTCCAAAATGAACATGTGTCATTGTGATACACACTAGGCCTTTTTATTTATTTATTATTATTTTTTTTTATTTAATATATTTTTTATTGATTTCAGAGAGGAAGGGAGAGGGAGAGAGAGATAGAAACATCAATGATGAGAGAGAATCATTGATTGGCTGCCTCCTGCACTCCCCCCACTGGGGATCGAGCCCACAACCCGGGCATGTGCCCTTGACCAGAATCGAACCCGGGACCCTTCAGTCCGCAGGCCCATGCGCTATCCACTGAGCCAAACCCGATAGGGCACACCAGGCCTTTTTAACATACACACACACACACACACACACACATAAATGAAAGTTTATTTAGAAAGTTACAGCAGTAGAAGTGAGCTGTAGAAGAAAAGAGCTAAAGAAGCAAGTTACAGAGGCAAAGAAGGGCCTTGGAGTTTAGTAAAGGACACTCGATAAGAAGATTCGATCGGGTGGCTCTGTGGGGAGAGAGTGTGGGTTTATTGTGTTGTTGTTTTTTTCCTTAACGATCCTTCTTAGAACACAGAAACTTCAGGCCCTTCCCCTTCCCATGCTTTTCCAGTTCCACAGTCACTTTTGGTACAGGGGCATTTTGTCAGAGGTCCTTGAGCCTAGAACTAAGTAGCTAATTCTAGGTCTGACTCCCAATGATACAAGATGAATCAAAGAGAAAAATATCATACTAGAGTTCATGTAGCAACTTCTAAACTGACAGTCTTTCCTGGGGCTCCATTCACACAACCCACATTCTTTGCACTTGGTCCAGTTGACGTTAATGTGCAGCTGTGCTGATGAAATACTGTGCGGTTCTCTGGGGTATGGGAGGAGGCCCTGGGGACGCACCCCTCTCCCACCTTAGTTCTCTAATTTCTGTGTTTCTTCCCCTTCTCCCACAACCAGCCTCTGAGAGCCAGAACGGGAATGGACTGAGTGCCCCCCCAGGTCCTGGTGGTGGCCCACACCCCCCTCACGCTCCTTCCCACCCCCCCAGCACCCGAATCACCCGAAGCCAACCCAACCACACACCTGCCGGCCCTCCTGGCCCCTCCAACAACCCTGTCAGTAACGGCAAGGAAACCCGGAGAAGCAGCAAGAGATAGCAAGACATTCTTCCTCCCTCCCACCACTGACCATATCCCAAGTGTCTGCTAGAGAACACAGCCTCTCCTGGGCTGCTGGCTCGGGGGTGGGAAGGGATAGGTAGCAATATTTTAGCCACTAAACTTCACTAAAGGGTGGTGAGAAGAGGCCTTATCCACCCTACACCCTTACTCACCCCTGTGCCCAGCGGAAGCTGCCTGTGCCCTGGGATGAGGGTCTCTGCCTGCCCTTCCTCTTCAGCAGTGAGTTACGGTCTGTTTCTTGTACGTGTGTGATGTGGAAATCTCGTTGAACCCCTTCTTCCCAATAAATGTTACTACTCTGTACTCGACTCCTTTGCTTTTTGTGGGGAAACGACAAGGTGAGCAGCTGGGCATTTGGGAAACGGCTTCGGAGGCGGAGAGGAGACAGGTTCCCGGCAAGGAGGCCCAGGCAAAGCAGCCTGCCCCTTTAAGGTAGTGCCCCTCCCCTGCCCCCTCCCTGCAGGTGACCCTTGCCCGCCTGCCTGTCTACCCCCCTCACAGCTGGAACCTAGAAGGCTGTGTCCCCCTTCCTCTGGGCGTCCTTTCTGCCTCCTGCTATCAGGTAATACCAGCCTCGACCCCTTGGACCACTCACCCCAGTCAGGCTGCTCCCCGATTCTGAGCCAGGTCAGACATCGGAGGGGAGCCGAGATACGCCTTCCCTCCTCCGACAGAGCTTCCCCTCGCTTGGTCACTGATTCCCAGAGCTCCGGCTCTGACTCTCTGGGGTGGGGAATTGCCAAAAACAATGCCTTTCCTATGCACGTGGGTTGCCACTTAATCTGCTTCTTCACCCTCCTCTCCAGTTGGGGAACAGCTGGGTCCAACTTTCCCCGGGAACGTGGGGACGGGGTGGCGATGAATGAAGCCCAGTGCCAGATGTAAGGGGGGGGGGGGAGTATATGCAGGGGAAGGCTAAAATAGCACCAACTGGGTTAGAGGGTAGAGTACTTAGAAGAAAAGACCAGGCCTAGATTCTCCTTAGCCATGTGGCTTTTCCAGGGGCAGAGGGTGGCCCCGCCCTACTGGGGGCCCTAACAGAGACTGACCTTTGACCCCATCCAAGAGACCAGTGAACCATTAACTCCTCTACCATGTGAGCCTTCCCACACTTGCCCCACCCCTGGCCCCGCCCCGAGGCAGGTGGGCTAAGGGGGGGGCTTGTCCATCCCAGCCTTCCATCTGACGTGGCCTCCATTCCACCTGGGAGCCTGGAGGCTGAGCCCTGCTGGCTCCCCTCCCCGACTCAGGAGCCTCTTAGTGTCCGCAAGGCCTGACGGGCCGAAGGTGCCGAGGTTCTTCTGCCAGTGGAGGTGAGGTTCTGGGCATTGGCGGGGGAGACAGAGGAGGGGGAGGGTTTAGGGGACGGAATAGGCCGTCAGCTCTGGGTCAGGTGAGGGGAGCACTTTGAGTCAAAGAAGGTGTTCTAGGAACTGGCAAAGGAGAGGAGAGACTGCAACAGCTGGAGGCCATGGGAGGGAGAAGGGAGGCTGGGGGGGGGGCTGCTGCTGAATTTAATGTGGGGGCTGAACGAGGAGGGAGGGGTCCCCTCTGGCCCTGAGCTGAGCAGCAGGGCAGCAGCACTGACCCTTCCTCCTTGCTCTTCCAGGGCACAGTCCCCAGGATGTTCCGGGGGGAGTAGAAGCGAGAACCAGAGCCTCTTACCAGTTCCTCCCCACAATGGGGCTCCCGACCAGTCCCCTGCTGGCTGGGCTGTGTGTGTGTGCGGCCTTGAGCTGGGGAGGGGGTTCAGCCCCCGACCTGGGCCCTGCTGAGCTGGAGCAGAACCATTACCTGGCCCAGCTGTTTGACCTGTACGGGGAGAATGGCACGCTGACTGCAGGGGGCCTGGCCAGGCTTCTCCACAGCCTGGGGCTAGGCCAAGTTCAGGGGCTGCGCCTGGGACAGCATGGGCCTCCAGCTGGTCGGCCTGCACCCCCAGCAAGAGACAACGCCACACACAGGTACTAACCCTTCCCCCCGGCCCCAAACCCCACATCCCAGCTCTTTTTAGTGCTCAGATCCCTCTCCAGTTGTCTACTTCTGGTTCCTAAAGTAAGGTTTCTGAGATTACAGATTGTTCAAAAACTGACTCCTTGTATCCCCTTCAAGGCTTCTTTTGCCTCTATTGCCTTCTCAGGCTCTCCTTTTCCAAATCCCTGTGCCCTTCGATTCCTTGCTTTTAGTCCGAAAGCTCAATGTCTCCAGGCTGACCTGACTCCCAATGTGTAGCATTTTTGCTGTTCCCTGACGCCTATTTCCTCTCACACCCATGCCCCATGTTCCTATACGCTGACAATCCTCAGATCCTCCCAGGACTGACATTTTATGGTCTCTGGGTCCCAGGAACTCCACCGTGCCTGGTCTTCCCTCTTCCTCTGGTAGCCTCTCAAGTGGGACTTCTCAGAGAACATGGGCATCTGACTTGTTTTTTTCTTTAAATCCTCACCCGAGGATATTTTTTTCATTGGTTTTTAGAGAGAGTGGAAGGAAGGGAAAGAGAAACATCGAAGTGAGAGACACATCGATGGGTTGCCTCTTACACGTGCCCCGACCGGGCCGGGGATCAAAGCCTGCAACCCAGATACATACCCTTGACCAGGAATCGAACCCGAGCAAGCCCCTTCCGTGCCAGGCTGACCCCTAACCACTGAGCCAAACCGGCCAGGGCTGGCCATCTGACTTTCTATCCCATCCATCTAGGCCTCAGGACCCCAAATTGAATGTGGATGTCTGGTCAGAGCTGCCTCTGGGTCCCTCAGGGTGGGGTGACCTTGAGGAGCCAAAGGCCCCCCACCCACCCCATGGGCCAGCCCCCTCGGGCCTGGACCTGTTTCACAGGCTTCTGTTGCTGGACCATTCGCTGGCTGACCATCGGAATGAGGATGTGAGTCTGATGATCTCTGGAGAAGGGGAAGGAGCCATGGGATTTAGATGGCATGAAATATTTAGAGTCAGTAACTTAAAAAAAATTTTTATTTAGTGATTTTAGAAACATTGATTTGTTGTTCTACTTTTTTTTTTCATCATCATTTATCCCCTCAATGCTCTCTTCCACCTCCACTCACCCCACCTCCACCCTGTTTCACTTATTTAATGCACTCATTGGTCGATTCTTGTATGTGCTCTGACTGGGGATCGAACCTACAACCTTGGCGTATCGGGATGACACTCTAAACAACCAGCTACCCAGCCAGGGATAATGAGTCAGTAATTTAATACAGTTCCTTTTTTAAAAATCCAGATGTGGTTTTTTGTTGTTGTTGTTAATCCTCACTCAAGGATATTTTCCATTGATTTTTAGAGAGAGTGGGAGGGAGAAGGGTGGGAGAGAGAAACATTCATCGATGTGAGAGACACATCAATTGGTTGCTTCCCACATGCCCCCCATCTGTGCTGGGAATCAAACCCAAGACCCTTTGGTTTCAGGGCTGACTCTCTAACAACTGAGCAACACTGGCCAGGGCAACCCAGATGTGGGCTTAGGGTATGTGATCCCGGCTTAGGTGTCACACTTGAGAAACCAGAGAAGCAGCCCAGGGTAGGCTGTGGGGCTGGCTTTCTGGAGAGGAGACCTGCAGAGAGCTGACAGCTGTCTTCACCCAGAAAAGACAGAGAACTTGTTCCACATACACCAGAGGGCAGCCAGAGCTAACCTGAAGCAGGCCTGGCGAGGTGAGCACCCATAGCAGGAAGCACTCAAGCCAAGGCTGGGTAAACATGTGACAGGGCTGCTGAGAGGAAGGTTTGATGGCTTTACAGGTTTTTTTCCTTCTAAGAATCTGGATTGGAGAATTCTAGTTGTCCAACCAACTCCATGATTAAATCAGTGGAATCATCAGGTGCTCGGGAGGGAGGAAAATGGTGGCACTGTTCACTAGCAGCCAATCTGCATTGAATTGAATATTTGCATCGGATTGACTATTTGAATATTCACTAATTAACACATACTGAGTACCTGTCCCTGTCCCCCAGTCCCTCCCTGATGCACGGGGTGGGGTGGGGGTGAGAGGGGGCCTGGGAGAGACCCAGGAGTCCAGGTGGTGGAAGGGCAGATCGGAGTCACAGTGAATGTGTGACTCCCAACTCAACTCCCCTAGTGTCTGAATGGCTCCCAGCTGCTGGTCAACTTTGGCCTGAGCCCCGCTGCTCCTCTGACCCCTCGGCAGTTCGCTCTGCTATGCCCAGCCCTGCTTTATCAGATCGACAGCCGTGTCTGCATCCAGGCCCCAGTTCCAACCCCACCAGGGGATCTACTGTCTGGTCAGTGAGTGAGAGTGGGTGGTGGGGCACCCTCAATCCTGGTAGGGAGTGGGTTCCATGCCAAGGAAGGGGTTCATTGGGGTACTGCCTCCCCTTGCAGTGTATCTTTGCCTCTTAGCCCCCCCTCCCCCGATTCTCCAGCCCTGGTTCACAGCGCCCTGGCAGTCCTGCTGCTCAGCCTCCCCACACCCCTCTCACTGCTGCTGCTTCGCCTCCTGGGATCTCGTCTATTGCGGCCCCTGCTGGGCTTCCTGGGGGCCCTGGCCGTGGGCACCCTTTGTGGGGATGCGCTGCTGCACCTGCTGCCACATGTACGTGAATCCCCTTCCTTATTCCCCTGCCCCCGTTGGTGGACAGCCCCTCATATCCAGGTGTTCCCAGTCATAGGACATCCCTCCCCATCAGCCCACAGCTGCCTTCTGGTAGAACGGGAGTGAAGGCTGCCACCTCACACCCAGGAGGGGGGTGGTGTCGGGTGCAGGGGTTTCTGGGGTCTGCCCTGACCTCCTCTCTGTCAGGCACAAGGAGGGCATCACTCCGGACCTAGTGGGCGACCAGAGGAAGACCTGGGTCCAGGGCTGTCGGTACTTGGCGGTCTCTTTCTGCTCTTCTTGCTGGAGAACATGCTAGGGATTTTGCGGCGCCGAGGGCTCAGGCCAGTGAGTGAGACTCTTTTTTCCTCCTTCTACTGAGATCAGAGTCCCAGCCAAGAACTGGCCACATGAACCAGAAGGCGAGGGGCTGAGTGTGCTCCTGGCTTTGCCGTTTGCCTGACGGCAAGCCCTGACTGCTAACGGAACGGGCAGGGCTCCCTCAGCACAGACTCAGGACTCTGTCTGGCCCAATAGCTTCCTCTCCTGAGTTCAAGGCAACAGCAGGGAGATGCCAAACTGGGAAGAGAGTAGAGGCCAAAAAACATCCCCAAGTGCCAAAAACAGAACCAGGTGTTCATTTTCCCAGCCGGTAGCCTGGCCTCTCCTTAGCCCCCAGCTCTGCTGCCTCCTCCACCAGGAGGGATACCCTCCTATTTTAGAGATGCTGCAGGCGAAAAAGGGAGGATCTCAGAACACCAGACCTGGACCCAGAGGACAGCAGTGGGATGGCACTTCAGCCCCTACCGGCAGCTCCAGGTAACAGGAGGAGAAAATGAAGACTAGGCTCCCACTCTCATTTTCAGCCACTAACACTGTCCTTGTCCTCCTTCCTGCAGAGCTAGGGGCTCAGGGCTGCAGGGAGCCGGACAGCCACCCGCCGCCAGCCCCAGCCCCTCCCGGGCACCAAGGCCACAGTCATGGGCTCCGGGGTAGCAGTGACACCAGTATAACATGGATGGTCCTCCTGGGAGATGGTCTGCACAACCTCACGGATGGGCTGGCCATCGGTATGACCGGAGGGGACAGAGGCAGTCAGGGGCGCCGAGTTACTGGGGGGGGGGGTGTAGGAGAGGGCCCCAGGAAGGGGAAGAGGAGAGGGAGGACCGCAGAGGGAATGTAGGCCCTGCCCCTGGGGAGTGCTTTCTTCCAGACTGCCCACCTCGTTCTGCAACCCCAGGTGCTGCCTTCTCTGACGGCTTCTCCAGCGGTCTCAGCACCACCCTAGCAGTGTTCTGCCATGAGCTGCCTCACGAACTGGGTAGGAATGGCAGAGTGGGGTTGGGGTGGAACGTGGAAGTTGGCGGGTGACATTGGTGAGGGGCAGCCCTGGCTTATTCCCTCCTACCCTGTCCTCTCTTCCTAATAGGTGACTTTGCAATGCTGCTCCGGGCAGGGCTGCCCTTTCGGCGGTTGCTGCTGCTGAGCCTAGTGTCTGGCGCTCTGGGACTAGGGGGTGCTGCCCTGGGGGTGGGGCTCAGTTTGGGCCCCGTCCCCCTCACTCCCTTGGTGTTTGGGGTGACGGCTGGGGTCTTCCTCTATGTCGCCCTGGTGGACATGGTGAGGTGTGGGGTAGTGCAGAGGAATGGGGGGGGGGGAGGAGAGGGCCACATGGAACAGGGTGCAGACCACAGGCCTGCAGAGTCTGAGAGACCAGAGCCTGGAAGAGCTGGGGTGGGGGCTGCTACTTCCTGACACCCTCTCATGTTTCGGGGACAGGTAAGGCAGGACCCTGATGTTTTCCTTTTCTTCCAGCTGCCATCCCTGCTGCGTCCTCCCGAGCCTCTCCCGCCCCTGGAAGTGTTCCTGCAGGGGCTGGGGCTGCTGCTGGGGGGCAGCCTCATGCTCACCATAGCCCTGCTGGAGGAGCAGCTGCAGCCCCTGGTCTCTGATGGCTGACGGGCCAGTGGAAAGGCATCCAGCTGCCCTTCCTTCCCCCCAACCACAGGAATGGAGGCGGGACACAGGGCCAGTAGGAGCAATAGGATTTTAATAAACAGAACCCATCCTAAAGCCATGACTACGACAGTTGTACTTGCACCAAAACAGCATAGAAAACCAGGATGTGGTGGGAGAGGGCTCGAAGCAGGTTGGGGAGGACATGAGTCGGGCTGGAGGATGCAGGGTGCATCAATCTGTGGGGACAGCATTGTGCTTTAGCCCAGGGAGGAGGGGAAGGGATGGGGCAATGCACTGAGGTCCCCCCTTTTTCCTGCTGCCCTCAGCACCCTGGGGATACAGGCATCTGGGCAGATCTGCCCTTTATTGCTGACCACCAGCATTAAACACCCCCGACCCCAACGCTAGCACCACAGGTGGATCCAAGGCAGGGAGAAGGGCAGGAAGGGGAACATTGCTTAGAGAAAGATTCCACTAGAATCCAGTGAATTGTGCTCAGTTCTCTTTACTTCCTACAACCGAGTACATGGGTCACAGGGTGGAGGGCACAACAGGACATGGAACATGCCCCTCCGTGCTCCCAACACACCCCTGCACACAGGATGGTGGTGTCTGCAGCATCACAGGTCATGCAGGGCACAAGGAAGGGGAGGATCACACACACAGAGACGTCCGCAGCAAGTACCAGACAGAGAACACCCCTGGATATACACAGCTGTACACAGGGAACCCCAGGTCCCCACCCAACCCTCTCCCCTGTCTTGCCGTCCCCCCGGCAGGAGGAACTGTATTGCTTTGAGAGAGCCACCCTGGGGGCCACTCTGCCAGGCACCCTCCCCTCCCACCCCACCCCATTTTGGCACATCTGCAAGACACACAGCAGCGAGAGTAGGCACCCTCCCTCCCAGGCTTCTGTGGCTTGGAGTTGAGGAAGGGGATAGGAGACTTCATCCTCCACCTTTCCCCTAGCCCTTCCCAACCCCTACCAAGCCCACTCCAGCCAGAACCCACCCCCACCCCCAAACGCACACATACAAAGCTGAGCTACCCAGGAATACAGGGAACAAGGAGATTGTCCGGGGTGGGAGCAGAGGCAGTGGGCGAGAAAGGACTGGAAGCAGAGACCCCACCTGGTGTGGGGGTAAGACTGGCACAACAGCTACTTTAGTGCAATTGGAGAGGGTGCCCACGGTGAGGGATGGACATGGGGGGAAGGCTCTCCCCAGCTTCCCTGGGCGCAGAGCCAGGCTCCCCAGGGAAGGGGCCTAGCAGGAGTGAGCACGGGCCAAGGGTGGATCCTCTCGTCACCCGCCGCCCTCTGCCCTCCCGGACGCAGTGACAGTGTCCCCCTCACACCTACGTGGGCAACAGCAGCCTCAGAGTCAGTACCTTCAAGTAATTCATAGAGCAGACCCTCCCCACCCCAGCTTCCTCCCATCTCTGGGATTTGGTCGCTTCTCTAGGGGTTGGGTTGGGAGGAGGGAGTCCTCAAGACAGACCCTTCCTTCTCCGCCTCCCTCTTCCCAGACCACTGGGCTTGGTCCTCAAAGACTCCTCCCCTCCGCCCTTGCCCAACACGGGTCAAGGTGCGGCGGACGGAGCCACCATGATCAGGGGAAGGGCTGCTTTGCTCCTTCTCCCTCCTTCTCACAAGGTAGGGTTCAAACTAGGCAGGATGGGGCCCCACAGGGGTTTGCCCCGGAGGGGGTGTCTGGGCGAGGGTCTGTAAGGCTATTTTCCTTTGCGGTGGGAAGGGGAGGAGGGGATGAACACTGGGTATGGGGACAGGGTGAGGAATGGTGGAGAGGGAAGGAGGAAGGGGCCTCCCTGCTGGAGCACAGTCACTGGAGTCCTTCTATAGAAAAAACAGGCATGGGGAGCAAGATGCACAGTGAGCTTATTCCCAGCCCCTCCAGCCTGGTCCCCCCACCTCTCAGGGCCCCTTCTAAGACCCCAGAGAAGGTTTTGGGGGACAGCTGTAGAACCGTTCACTCTGGCCCTACACTCCGGTGCCCCCAGCCTCTTCTCCCCTTCTAGGTCCAGGGAGGAAGAAGGTGCTCAGGTGGGCAGACAGCGGTGGAAACAGTATTGAGTTTTCCTTTGGTTACATATTGAAGGCAAAGGTGAGCTGGACTTACAGTCAAAACGGATAGGGATGAGGAAGGAGAGGGGCCATGGCTGGGGCTGGAGAGGGGGTAGCCCTCTCAGCCCCTCCACCCCAAGGAACACGTCTAAGTGGGGTGGCCGTCCCTCAGTCTCATCTCTCCCACCCCCCCACAGCACCAAACAAAAGGAGAAGCCCCCTCCCCCAGGGGCTGCTCCCCACCCCAACCTGGGCTGTACATTCAGTGGTTTCAGCAGTCCTATGGCTCAGGGGCCAGGGGGTGGGGGAGGTGGCCCGTCAGTCTCAGCTGGACAGTGGCAGTGACCTGGGTCTGTTGGTCCATCCTGGGACCCACAGTTTGTGCCATTTGTTTTTCTGAAGGATAGTACACAACCCTACCAAAGCCACCGCCCAATCAGAAACATATCCCCACAAAATCAGAAACTAAAAACTGGCTCTTTTCATCTCGCCCTCTGATTTACACGTCTGTTTCCCTGTCTCCTATGTAGCCCTAGCTCTGTCTCCTTTGCTGGGACCTGGGGCTGCTCCCAGGATCCTCACTTAAAATAGGCCTTTTCTCAAAAGTGCTTATTACTTGAAGCAAGTGCTTTAGC